AAAAAAAAAAAAAAAGAATGAATTAAATGTAGAATTTTGCCTCCTAGTGTTTGCCCTGGGAGGAGGAGAATAGCTGGTTCCTGTGTCTGTGGGGCCAGCCCAGCCTCCACACACTGCTCTGTCACCTCTCACGCTCCTTTCCATGTAGGTGTGTCAAATGTGTCAACAAATACTCTACTCCTGAGGCCCTGGAGCACCACCTACAGACCGCTACTCACAACTTCCCCTGCCCGCACTGCCAAAAGGTGGGTACCACTGCCCTTTCCCAGCTGGGACAGCAGTTGGGGCTGAGAGGTGGTAGAGCAAACACCTCACTGTCTCCTTCTCCCCTCCCGCCTCAGTACATGCAGCAAAACCTAGGCTTGTCTCCGCAGACTTGTCTCCATGGACTTGTCTCCATAGGCGCTTCACCTTTGAAGAGTAGGGGCCCTGCCTGGCCCATCTTAGCCATTAGACGGCACACATGGTCATCCTGGAGCTGCTGCTGGGCCAGGCCAGGCCAGGCTGCGCTAATGTGGGGTGAGGCCTCTTCTGGGCCCAGGCCCAGCATCAGGACAGCAGCCTCCAGCTTCCTGATGTATTATGCTTGTTATCATTGGTTCTTCTTTTCAGTGAATGTGAAAACCATCACTGAAGCCTGTCCTTTAGTGTCATCAGCTAGCCAGGCAGTGTTCCGATTTCTGAGTGTCTCAGAAACATCGTAATTTTTAGAAAATGTTTATTTATTTATTTTTGAGAGAGTGCACGTACCTGCCTGTGCGCAGGGTTGGGGAGGGGCAGAGAGAGAGAGAGGGAGAGAGAGAATCTTTTTTTTTTTTAAGTTTATGTATTTATTTTGAGAGAGATAGGGTCCTAGTGGGGGAGGGGCGGAGACAGAGAGAATCTCAAGCAGGCTCCGAACTATCAGTGCAGAGCCCGATGTGGGGCTCAAACTCATGAAATCATGAGATCATGACCTGAGCCAAAATCAAGAGTCAGACACTTAACTGACTGAGCCACCTAGGCACCCCGAAGCATCATAATTTTTATAAGGTTTATTTGTTTGAATCAGACTCACATACTCCAATTGGTTGATACAACCAAAATTTCTGTTAACAGTTTCTCCCACAAGTGCTCCTTTTTTTCCCCCCCTTTTAATTTATTTGTTGAAGAAACTGGGCCATTGGTCTTGTGGAGTTTCCCAAAGTCTGGATTTTGCTGATTGCATCCCCCTAGTGTGTTTAACTGGTTTCTGTTGGGGTGCCTGGGTAGCTCAGTCAGTTGAGCATCCAACTGTTGACTTTGGCTCAGGTCATAATCTCACAGTTCGTGGCTTCAAGCCCCACATTGGGCTCTGCGCTGATGGTGGGGAGCTTGCTTGGGGTTCTCTCTCTCCCTCTCTCTCTCTCTGCACTTTCTCTCTCTCTCAAAATAAATAAACTTAAATAAATAAATAAAATTTTAACTGGTTTCTTTATTCTACTCATTTCCTTACAGCCTTACACAGCAGATTTCCCAGGACAGCCCTCGTTTCACTTCAGCCTCATTGTAGATGTTTCTGATTATGTATATAGCCTAATTCGGGACTTTGGAATTTGTGTTCCAAATAAAAGTATCATGAATTGAAAAAGAACCATGTGCCACATGCTGTCCTGAGCATTTTATCTGAATTGAGTTTAACTCTAGGAGGCATACTATTACTATTCCCATTTTACAGATGGGGAAACCAAGTTACAGAAAGATCACTTAACTAGGAAATGGTGGGGCTGCTAAGTAGTTGAGTCTGTAACCTTGACTACTTCTCTGTAACGAATGAAAAAAATGAATGAATATCCTTCCTATGGCTGGAGAGGAAGGAGATTTTGACTTCCATGGTTTCTGGCTCTTCCTTACCTTTTCATTCATTTCTTCAGTTACTTACTCATCTTTTCATTTTTTCTTTTGCATGTAAGTCATTTCATACAGGCCCTGTGCTGGGAAATGAAAGTTCCTCTGCCCTCTTAGAGATCTCATAAAAGCCAAGGATTATAATTCAGGGTTAGATGGGTTAGATGGTGACTTTAAAAATGTAGATGGAGGCGCCTGGGTGGTTCAGTCAGTTAAGCATCCGGCTCTTGATTTTGGCTCAGGTCATGATCTCACAGTTAGTGGATTCAAGCCCCATGTCAGGCTCTGTGCTGAGTGCAGAGCCTGCTCGGGATTCTCTCTTTCTCCCTCTCCCCCTGGCCCTCCCCCACTCATGCACCCATGTGTGTGTGCACGCACTGTTTCTCTCTCTCTCTCACTCAAAATAAATAAGCATTTTAAAAAATGTAGATGAACAGGGATGCTTGGCTGGCTCAGGCAGTAGAGCATGCAACTCTTGATCTGAGGGTCATGAGTTTGAGCCCCACATTGGGGATAGAGTTTTCTTAAAAAACAATAAATAAACAGGGGCGCCTGGGTGGCTCAGTCGGTTAAGCATCCGACTTCAGCTCAGGTCATGATCTCACAGTCCGTGAGTTCAAGCCCCATGTCAGGCCCTGTGTTGACAGCTCTGAGGCTGGAGCCTGCTTCGGATTCTGTGTCTCCGTCTCTCTCTGCCCCTCCCCCGCTCATGCTCTGTCTCTCTCACTCTCAAAAATGAATAAATGTTAAAAAAAAATGTTTTAAACACAAATAAACAGATAAACAGATGGTAAACAAATAAATATAGATGAACGTTCAAGGGCAGGATTTGTTTTGCCTGGCATGGCATTGAGAAGTCAGAGAGGGCTTCACAGAAGCAGTGACACCTGAGTTGGGTCTTGAAGGATAAATAAAAATTTGTCAGGCTAAGAGAGAAAGGCCCTCTGGGTAGAAAAAATAGCATGGCAGAAGCTCAGAACATGCATTGTGGGTGAGTAGTGGGAGTCATGAGGTTCTAAGCCTGACACTGGGCCCTGAGCCTGGTGGGAGAATGGTTTCCACAACTGCTGGGAATGAGGGGCCCCTTGAGCTCAGGAGGTGGTGAGGGTTAGTGAGTCAGACCTAATGCCAACTCGTCTCTTCTGCCAGGTGTTTCCTTGTGAGCGCTACCTACGGCGTCATCTGCCTACCCACGGCAGTGGGGGCAGGTTCAAGTGCCAGGTGTGCAAGAAGTTCTTCCGGCGAGAGCACTACCTCAAACTGCATGCTCACATCCACTCAGGTGAGTGCCCTGCCCCCCATCAACTCCTGCCCAGCCCCCCTCCCTCTCTCTTCCCTTTCCCACCCCCCTCTAGCCTTTGCCCC